ATTTCGCTCAACGATTGGATAAATTGGAAAATGAAATTGGTTATTTGAAGCCTAAAAGCTTTGCAGCTAGTATTTTTTCGGCAAGGCGGAACTCTGGGACAACATCATATCAACCTGCAAAGGTACGGAGAGATTCAGTATTTGATGAAACTAGCATAAATCATGCTAACTCAGAATTGAACAAAAATAATGCTGATACCAATCTGAACAAACGAAAATTCAGTGCTACTGAATCTGGTCAGAGGAAGAAAACTCATATTACTGGAGCCAACCAGAATGGCGCTTTTCAAGGCGTGAGTAAGCCTTCCCCTAGACGCCTCATTTACCTGGGCCGAGTATCAAAAGAATATGGTCCCACAGAAGTCAAACAGCATTGCGAAAATAGTGGAGCAGAGGTATTACACATGCGGGAAATAACTAAAGAAGATCATACTCTGAGGAGCTTTCACGTTATTTTTGCTGGTGAAAAATCGGAATTAATTGACTCGCCGGATTTTTGGCTACAGAACACCATTGTTAACAAATTTTTCTTGAATGAAGAGGCAAAAAGTTGGTTGAAGTCATTGGAAAAGCCCTCTGACTGACAAACAAAGATGGAAATCGGATTTCTCAACATACGATCTATTAGACGGAAAGTTACAGCTCTTTCTCATATCATTCTTTCTAATAATCTACATATATTTGGCATCGTTGAAACCTGGATTACATCAAATTAAAGTTATCTCATTAGGCAAATATGCCCAACCGGCTTCATGTATTTTAATTGTACGCGTGAAAATAGAAGTGGTGGCGGACTGGCTTTAATCGCCCACGAGTCTTTGTGTATATCTTTAGTTCGCCATATTTGCTTCGATTATTTAGAAGCAGCCTTATTCACTTTTAATAACTTAGGTTCTAATGGACTCTTAATGCTAGTCTATCGGCCTCCTTCGGCGAACTTCAACAATTTTATCACTGAATTATGTAATTTGTTTTCTGAAATGCTACCGAACTGCCATTCTTTTATTTGCTTCGGCGATTTTAACGTTCACTTTAATAAAAGGGACTATAAAATTTTCCTACTTGAAGACTTATTGAAAGAATATGGTTTGTACCATTCTGTACATGAACCAACGCACAATAAAGGCAACATTCTCGACTTGGTTTTATCATTCGAGAATAACAAGCCACAGGACGTTTCAGTTTATCCTTTTGATAAGTCAGACCATCACTTTATTAAATTTTTGGTGCAGATTCTTTTCATACAAACTAAGATGAAAGTACTTACATATCGCAGTTGAAAAAATGTAAATTTAACGGAATTTGGCGACACTCTAGAATCGTCCTTGGATTTAAATGTTGGTCTTGGCATTTGTCAGAATAATTCAAATTTGCTAACTGTTTTTAATCAAACCATGGAAACGATTACGGACTTCATGGCGCCTATCAAAAAGCGCAATAAACTCATTCGGGAGTGTGATTTCTTCGATTCTGAACTTATTTTTATGAAACGTAAACGACGAAAGTTAGAAAGAATGTATAGAAAGAAAAAAATAGTTTTTGATGATTTTAAAGAGTTTGATAGGGAAATGAGAAACTGCTTTGCGGCTAAAAACGCGAATTTTTTTGGAAGAAAATTGAGGTTATTTAAACCGATTCTAAGAAATTTAGAGCCCTTGATAAACTTTTAGGAAATAAAACCAAAGCAGTACTTCCTTTTCATAAATGCAAAGTTACTTTGGCTATTAATTTTAATGATTATTTTGTTGGTAAAGTATCGAAATTGTGTACTCAAACTCTCAGTATGGATTTGTTAGAAAATTCGTTTAAGGCTACACCTGTAGTTTTAATGGAAAGTTTCAGCTATATTAAACTTGAAGATTTGCATCAGGCTGTGCTATCAATGTCAAATGCAACTGCTCCTCATGATTTAATTCGAACAGTTATTTTTAAAAAGTTATGGAGCTACTGGGGACCGCATATCCTGAAAATTTTAATGCTTTACAATGAAATGGGTAAGTTCCCCGATGAACTTACAGAAGCAGTGATAATTCCAACTCTGAAGAAAGAAAATCTCGATCCGGAACAGCTTTCATTGTACAGACCAATTTCAAATCTTGTGTTTCTTTCGAAGTTATTTGAAAAACTTATACACAGTCAGCTTGTTGAACATGTTATGGTTTCGGGTCTCCTGGATAATAATCAATCTGCATACAGATTTGGAGCTTCGACAGAAACGGCATTGTTGAAAACATCTAATGATATATGTAAATTTTTGGATATGAATAATTACCTGATATTGATGAGCCTTGACTTACCTAGTGCGTTTGATACCCTTAGACATGATTATTTGATTGGAATCCTGGAAAATTATATTGGTCTTTCTGATAACATATTGAAATGGTTTAGATCGTATCTCAGTAACCGTCGCCAAAAAGTTTTCATTGATTCACATTACTCTGACGAAGTTAAGATTGAACACGGTGTTCCCCAAGGGTCGATCTTGGGACCCCTTATATTTTGCATCTATGTTTTACCTCTTCGTGATGTGTTTCTTAAACTTAACGTATCTTATCAATTTTATGCAGATGATACCTTATTCTATGTTGCTGCAAACTTCAAAGAAAACGATTTTATCAGTGTCAAGGAGAAAGTTCACTCTATTATAATTAACGTGCTTGATTGTTACAAAAAACTTGGTTTAGTGGTAGACCCCGACAAAACTGAAATTAATTCACTCGCAAAACCAAACCATAAACTGGACCTCAAATCGTTTTTTGTTGGCTCATATGAAGTAAGGGTGTTGAATGAATTGAAATCATTAAGTGTACTTATTGATAAAAACTGGAATGCGGTTCCCCATATAAACAAAGTAACGCAGACATGTTACTTCGTCCTGCGGAAATTATACAGCGTTGGCTACTATTTGGATTTTAATAACCGTGTTATTCTTTTGAAAAATCTTATTTTATCGCGACTGGATTACTATAATTCGCTGTTTTTGGGTTTACCGGACAAATTGATTAAAAAATTACAACGAACACAAGATGCCGCTGCCAGATTTGTGTTTCAGGCACATCGGCAGACGTCGGCAACGATCCTTCTACATGAACTGCATTGGCTGCAGCTTTGTCAGCGTATTAAGTTTAAGACTCTAGTTCTTCTCCACAAAGTACTTCATGATGACAGAATAGCCCAATATTTTGATGACATAGCAATATCGATAAGGCAACGATTTTCGATCAACAGAAGGAATGCCACCATACGTTTATCCATGGCGCGTTCAAAATATGGAAAGAGATGTTTCACGTTTGCAGGACCGAAGTTATGGAACAGTCTGACGCAGGAGCTTAAATCAGAATCGGATGAATTGCTATTCAGGAAAAAGTTGAAAACCCACCTGTTTCGACAATATTTCTACTAAGAACAGAACACTTTTGAGTCTAGAAAGGGTGTCAAAATAAACCCATGAATGAATGAATGAATTGACATAGATGGCATAAATTTTATGAACGAAATTGCTGAAAAAGCTTAAAAACCATTCATAGTTTTCAACAATTGCTCAAAAGCAAACGGATTTTTGAGAGACAGATTTAAAGTCCGAACAAGTGATCTTTCGTTAGGCTTCATTATATCAAGCAAGATGGCATTTTTGTTATTCCGACTTCACAAAGAAAATGAGCAACTTTTTGTGCTCGCCGTTTTTTTCGCCAGATCAATTCCGAACCATCAACTTACCGTTTTTTATCATCTGAAAGTAAGTGACGTATTGACCTCAAACTTAAAAAGATAATTTACTTGTGATTATTTTTTTGCTAAGCTAGGTTGGTTCAAAAATTGGCGTTGTTGCCATATGAATTATATAAGTGAACCCAACTATGACAAAACTCAAAGCTTTTTTCAGTGTGCCATAACCCTAATGAAACGCAGGAAACTGCTGTAGAGCTGATCTTATTTCTAAAAATAAACTTCTTTGAATGATAATTGTGTCCCCGAAAACCATGTTATCAATTCAATTGGCCATTTTTCAAATGATTATTTGATAGCGTTTTCTGCTAGAGCGCTAGTGAGGAATTGTAAAACTTTTTTTCGAACTTTCTTGTTTAAAAAAGCATTCTGCATTCCAGATGCAACCAATTCAAGTTTTATAAACTTAATTGTATCAGTTAGTTAAGTTTGTCGGCTAACATTTCTAAGAATGATTCTAATTGGAGCACAACTAGGGTTTAAGTTTTGCTAGGTGAGTGTGCTTCAATACATTATGATGAAAAACAACAAAAAATTCAAATCATGAAAAAATCTACTGAGAATCTGATTCAACTGAGAATGAGAAATTTAACTGACAATAGGTCTCAAAACTAATCTGTATTCAAATTTTGTTGTCGGTGAGATTAAAAAAAGTTTAAAAAGTGACACACTTCTATATTAGAAAGAAGTATTTCTAATAATATATTTATAATTCAAGTTTTATAAACTTAATTGTACCAGTTAGTTAAGTTTGTCGGCTAACATTTCTAAGAATGATTCTAGCTGGAGCACAACTAGGGTTTAAGTTTTGCTAGGTGAGTGTGCTTCAATACATGATGATGAAAAACAACAAAAAATTCAAATCATGAAAAAGTCTACTGAGAATCTGATTCAACTGAGAATGAGAAATTTAAGTGACAATAGGTCTCAAAACTAGTCTGTATTCATATTTTGTTGTCGGTGAGATTAAAAAAAGTTTAAAAAGTGACACACTTCTTAATTAGAAAGAAGTAAACCAGACTGCTTGTATCAGGGCGAAGAATGATTGTTCCAACTGCCTTTTAAGG